GCTCAACCTGGAAATATAATATCAGCCCCTTGTTCTAAAATATTACACATTTGCTGTTCAATTGTCTAAAATTGTTAAATGAAACCCCATTTCCGTCCAAATTGCATTATAGTGTGCCATCCAATCTTAATGAAGTTTAAGGTTATAATGTTTTTGAGAGTAATTGGCACGATATGTTAAATTTGGTATCACATTTTGGTTATAGTTATAGACCAAAATTAACGGTCGTCACAGGGCAACGAAAAGTAACAAGTGGCGGATATAAAATAATCTGCCAGATGCCTTCCGATGGCCACTTTTTTCATAGAAAAAGCATTTCCTTTAACGCATTTTTTTCATTGTGAATTTTAGTAATTTTTTTTTGCTGGCTTAGGGGATAGAGCGCTCGCCTCTTAGTGAACTGAACCGAGTTCGAATACCAACGATAGATGGTTAACTTGTTTTCCGCACCCGGCTTTTACCGATCACAATGCCGACGTAAAATATCCGCAATGGTAGACGGTCCATTACTTAGAGTCCCTTAGCCATGAGGATAACCGTGGGAGGTTTTCGTGGTTTTTCTCTCTGTGTAACACAAGTGCAGGTTAGCTCCATCAAAAAGTCTTAACGAAGACATATTTCTCCTACTACTTGATCCAGGAGTTCCCTTGTCTTCTGGTTTGGGTTCAAAATTACAAGACTACGGAGTTGAACATTAGTAGTCGTAAGCCCAAAACTGGATCGACTGTTCAACTACGGTTAGAAAATAAAAATAACTATAGAATGAGTCGGGGTGGTTCAAGGCATAGAGCATTTGCCAGCCAATGAGGTCATCCAGGTTCGAATCCCAGAGGTAGCAGCTTGATGTGAGTTCTGCTCCCGGTTCGCATAGACCACAGTGTTAATGCAAAATATTCTCCGTGGTAGACGGATTATGGGTTAGAAACCCTTTGCCGTTGTGCTAACCATGGGAGGTTTTCGTTTTTATCCTTATTAAACAAGAACAAATAAAATAAATGATATAATTAAGTTCTGTTACTTGTAATATATATCTAAAAAGCAACTAAATTTTTCTGACATTTCTTACATTATTTGTGTGTAAAGTAGCAAAGTTAGAGTTCAATTTTTTACACGAATAGTCCAATATATCTTGAAAGTTTTATTATTTAGCCGGAAGTATTTTTCCTCAAAATCACTAAAGATTTGAATACAACATGCAAAAGAAAGTTGTATATAAAAAAGTGTTGTATGTAAATTTAAAAAATATATATATTTTTCTTATTTTTATCAGGTTTTCATTGCGTATTTGATACAATCGGTACTATTTTTAAAAATTGTGAGATTAGAATCTTTTATAATTTTACATAATCAATAAACAATTTACTTTAAATAATTTCTTCGGTTTATCTAAAAGAATATTTTCAGTGAAAAAAAAATCTATTTTGTATAAATTAGCTACTTTTTATTTTCATTGTTGTTTATGCAGAACATTTAAAATGCTATTTAAATAATAAAAAATTATTTGAATGAAAAAAACATTTAACTTCAAACATTTGCTTAGATTAGTGAAGAATTTTGAAAGATGAATTTTTTCTTATAGACCGCAATATCAATAACTATAGGCACGTAGCAACAATAAATAGAGGAATAAGTAGACTTAATCTTTTGTTATTAGATTGAAAAATAAATACATATGTCAAAGGAGAATCAGGCGATTCCTCACAAGCTATATAGTTCAGCAGAACATATGTAGAATATCAATATATTCAAATGAATTCTTTTATAAACTTGACAAAAGTTTTTTTTTCTATGAATCATCCATCAAAAATGTCAAGTTACGGGCAACAATTATTTAATGTATCTTGTCAAAATTCATACAATGTATTAAAACTTAAATACATTGCGAAATGAATGTTTCAATTTTGCTTAGCGTGCTTTGAATTTCTATTAAATGCTTCAAAAATGGCATGGAATTGTCATTAATTTGAAAAAGAATATAAGAGTCTCACAAAATCCCTTTTTTACATGTTTACACATTTTAAAAGAATGCACAAGTGATATTTAAAAACAAAGATAGGAGATTTATAAACTTTCTGAATAAGAGAAATTTGTGCTTTTTGTGTTAATGATAGCAGACTTTTAATGTTTTCTAAAAAGAATTTTTTTTTTAGTTTTATTCTTAATAACTTTTAATCTTCTTCCGATTAACATAAAAATTTTAAAATTTTTATACCTTTTAATAGTTTTCTTCCTTAAGATTTATTTAATTCGCTTAACTTCGTTTAAAAAGTGGTTTTTAAGGTAGTTAACGATTAAAATATCTCTTTTTGATAAAAAAAAAAAATTCCTCATCAATGACATCTACACAAAGACTATTGAAGCTGTTGAATTTCGAGGAAAATTAAAGAATAATTGATATAGTTTTAAAATACCTAATAATTTTCGTTCGTAAATTCAACAGAACTTGAGATCCTACCTAACGACTCGTCCTTAAATGGCTTTCCCCGCAAAGCTTTTACTATTGTGTATTCCCATCAGTAACATTACGAACGCGGAAATTCATTACGACTCTTACTCGTTTCTCTTTTTGAAGAATGAGCAATGAATATTTAAGTAATTAGCAAAATACAGTTAAAAGAAATTAAGTTGAAAGTATCACGTAAAATATGAAAATCAACTTTTTTAAACACGTAAAGCATGAATTTAATGAACACTTTAAACGGAAAACGGTTTTTCTATTTTTGAAATTGAACAACTGAAAAAAAAAAACATGCTCAATTTTTTCTTAAAATACTCTGATGCCTATGTTTATTTAATTTCGTCCAATGATAAGTGAATTGACAGAACTTAAGATTCTTCCAAATATCTCGTTCTTAATAATTTTCCCTGCAGCTTGTTTATTTTTGCGAATTCCCCCTCAGTAATATTGCGAACGCGGAAATCCTTTAAGACTCTTACGCGTTTCTCTTGCTGAATGATGTTTCTTGAATTTTTAAATAATTAATAAATATAGCTGCAGGAATCGGTAATTAAGTGGTCACGTAAAATACAAAAATAAATTTTTGAAGCACGTAAGACATGAGTTTAATGAACAGTTCATGCGGTAAAAGGTTCCTTTTTTTAAAAAAAAAAAATTAAAACACCCGGAAGAAACTAAAAGCATACTGATTTTTTTCTTTTTATGTGTGGTTTATTCGATGAAGAAAGGGTTTTAATACAATTTTAATGCGTAATGAACTTTATATCTATATTAGATTCACTATGTATTGAGAAGACTTCAAAAAATAGTTTTAAAATCAGATTTTCCCAATTAAATGTTTCCTAATTAAATTCATGTTCCTAATTAAATTTATATAAAATTCAAAAACTTCAGAAGCTATTACTTTGCAATACAACTCATATTAACAAATATTCATGCTTAATAAAAATTTAAAACGATACATCACATGTTTTTTAAGCGTATAAAGTTATTTTTTGAAAATAAAATTAAAATAAATTCCAGCAATAAATTGGAATGAAAAAGTATAAATTAGTTAATATTAACGCTGATTAAAGTTTGAATGAACTGAGCATCAATCATTACAAAAGCATTAGGGATTATATTTTTTATATTAAGCTAGTTTTATTTTTAATACGTAATTTGACATTTTTCTATGAAGATTATAGAAATTATTTCACAGATTTTACGAGATAAAACATTGAAGTACAAAAATCTATATCACAATATTAGTTTTGATAAATATTATAAGAACCTAATATTCCTATTATAATTCCTATTACATGTCTTTAATTTATTTACATAAATTCTGTCATATTTTTTTCCTCTTTATACATTTTTCATACTCAAAACCCAAAATATGCCTTTTCATAACATATTTATTTAAGAATAAAAATTTGAAATGAAAATAAATAAAACTATAGCGTTTATGAGACATTTCTAATAATAATTTGCATAAAAAAATCGTGTCATTCTTCTCACTTAAATAATTTTTCATTTAAACAAGCAATTCATATCAATTATTTTTATCATCAATTACTGCATTTGTTGCTCTAACTTACATGTTTAAAGTTGTTTTAACTTAACTTTAACATGTTGTTTTAACTTAAGGCTGATGACATGTTTCTAACAAAAATACACTTCTCTGATACTTTAAATACAACAACCAGTTTGAAAAACTTTCACATTCTATAACGTTAAATTACATCCTAAAAATAAAAGCAAAAATCACTAATTTTCTTTTCTTAATTAATTAAAACAATTTTTTAAATCCTGAATTAATAAATAAAATAAAAAAATATTATGTACATCATAAAAATTTCACTTTTCTATTCACTAAAAAACATATCATATTATAAAATCCTCACAACCTACTGGACTTTTTCTAGCTCATGGGAAAAGAAATTTAAAATAGTTTTAATTTTAAAATAAAAAAAGGATTTTAAATTTTAAACCTAAAATAACTTCAAAATTAAAACAATGTTACGACCTCAAAATTATTCAATTTTCAATAATTTACTAAAATAAAATTAAAATATAATATAATTATCACAAAAATAACAATGAAAATCTTAAAATTAATAAAATTATTTTAAAATTCAAAATTGAAAACTATTCAATTTTCGATCAGCCTCGATTAGTTAGCCTTTAAATCTCAATAAAGGAGTAAGTTTGAATTGAGGTCTTGCAAATGATGTATGTATGCAAATGATGTTATTTGATATGATTTCAAATAACAATAGATTGATCTTAAATAAATACAATTCAGTTTGAATTAAATACTATTCAATATTCAATAGTTTTTTTTTTTTCGTTCTAAATGATACAAAAATTAGGCGTAAAAAAGATCGGAATAAATTTTGTGATAAATCATGCACGTTTTTCGAAACAATTTAAATAATCTCTGTAATTATCCCAATAGTTTTAAATCTATAAACATACATTAATATCCAGATATCATTGTTGAATATGAATGTCCATTTTAACAAATTGTATAATTTGATGAATATTTATGCAAACTCACATTCATTGTTGATTTTACAGTAGGACCCATGTAAAATCGAACGGTTAGTCCAGGTAACTACTGATCCATGTCCAGTCAAGTAAAAGCAGAGGATAAAACAAACACGATGTAAGTCAGTAGACAATACCGTATATGAAACAAAAAAGTAAAAAATCCCACGACAGAGAAGAGAAGATACGGTTCCGGCTAGGGACCAAAGGATGTTTTACCTGGCCGCACGCGAGGGGACGTCTTTTAATACTTAAGGTAAGAGGTCATAGGTGAAGTTGGACGGACAGGAAAGAACAGGTCATCCCCTGGCCTATCGCTGCCCGGGGAAATAGGCCACTATGCTTTTCCCCAAAACTTTCTTCTTCGAATAAAGAAAAAGAAGAAAAGTCCTCCTCCGAAGATGCGGTTTTTACTTTCGCTTCTTCTTCATCCTGATAAAAAACGAGGCGTGACCAGCTTTTGAAAATTCCCTCCAAAAATTCTGCAGACGATTAATTTAAAGGATAAAATTTGTTTGCAGACGATATCTACTTGATGACGACTTTAGAAAAAGGTGAATAGAAGGCAGACGATAAATTTAAAATATGTTTTTTTATTAACTATCATATCTGCGATCCTGGTATGTGAAGAGAAAAGAAGTGAATTAATTAATGCCAATGATCATTTCATCTGGCTGAAGATGATCGTGCTTGTTTTTATTTTAGGTGCGTAAAGAAAGTGAAATGATGTGAAAATCTGGTGAAAGTAATTTTTTTTTTTTCTTATCAAAAATATTTTTGGGTAACGCAATCTGAAAATCCAAGACCCGCATATTAATTGAGCTTTAAATTCATAGAACAAGTCTTAATCTAAAAAAAAAGAAAAACTTTCAGACAAGCTAACGTATAGAAAATTTATATTTTGTTACATATTCAGAGACCTTGAACTTCACTTGACTTTGAACAAATTTAGCGGTCACCTTAAAAATACCTTCAAGTAGAATTGCAGAGATATTTAGCTTAAACATTTAATTTTTAAAAAACAGAATTAAAACTGTTCAAAAAATTCAAACCATTTACCCGGTTTACATTATTAAATTATCGATTACTAACCAGTATGGTGATGCAATGTGAAAAAAAAATTGTGCATATAATCAGCCTTATGTTAGTACGCTCTTTCTAGTGGTTTAAGACGAACATTAATTTCATTGATGAAAAATAAATGATTGTTAAATGTTTATTCATGTTTTAAATTTTGTTTGTGTCTGTAAACTCTGCAAACTAATCTTGAATACTTTCAAAATCAGCGACGTTTCTCTAGCTCTGCTATTCTACACTTTTACTCAAGGAGATTGTCTTGAAAACTTTTTCATCATATATTTACTACAAAAAGTTATTACTTTAAAGAAGTGCCAAACATGAACTACAAAAGAAAAATGTCTTTTTTTTCTTGTATTTTTCTAATACCTAGACTATTTTAAATTATATTTGAACAAGCTTTGAAATTATATGATATGCCTTTCCGAAGGACCTAAATTTTTTATTAAAAAAAACTTTTTAAAAGTCGTATGTGTTATTGAAAAAAAAAACTTTTTTTATTATAAACTACTTTCAAATTTTAAAGCAAAATTAATATTTTAATATAACTGAAAAAAAATTTAACATTGAAATTGCTTATTTTACTTTACTGCAAGGGAATTTAAAGTTTGCTTTTAGTATTTTTTTGCTATAAATATTTTAAAATATTTTAAGCTAAAATAGAGAATAGTTTTTCTTTTTTTTTACCAGCAGCTTTCTTTTATTATCAGAATTGTACATTTTTGAAAATTTTAATAGAGATAAATGCTCAAAATTTTTAATCTTTTGAAACATTATTTACTTTATTTGTTTACGTAGAAGAAAAATTCATATATTTTTTAAGTTTTTATGCTCTTTACCTTGAGATTATCAATATTTACAAAAAAATCATCAGCATTTTGCATTATTTTTTATATACAAAAAGCACTTTTCTTTTTCCGAAAAATAGAAAATAATACACCATTTTGATAAACTAAGGCAAAATGTTTAATTTTAGTGTCATAATCATATCTGAAGACCATATTTTATGTCTGGATATCAGATCCCAGAATGCACATTCTTTGAATAAATACGCATTTTCTATACCAGTTTTTATTTTTAACCTCGTTATATAT